CCGTGTTGGGTGTCGCTGTTTCGTGCTTTGTAAGGGGATCTGGCAAAGGTAGGCGTCTGAATAAGTTTGTTCATCACCCTGCGACGCCAGAGTTTGGTTTAGGGCTTGTTGTCGTGTGCTGGGGGGTCACATAGGGGGTTGGTTTGCCAAAATGCACCAAGTAGGCGCCCTGCGGCACCGCTGGTGCGGCCACCTCCTCGGTGTCAGTCTATCTTGGTCTCGTGGCGCAATGGTGGCGTTGCAGAGTGATGCCACACGCAATGTGAGTGTATAACGAGGAGGGTAGGAATTGACATTTTGACGGTTTCCACTTTGTCTGGGGTCTTCGGGGGGCTGCACCCGAGCCTGGCGGCGATCCTACGCTGACGCCGCGGGGGCGGCTGACGGTTCTATAGCTCCGTCTTGTGCCCGGCCTGTCGCCTACTGACGCAGGTCTAGCCGCCCCCACGCCCTAGCAACCGGGGCAGTTTTTTTTCCCCCCCCTCATTTTCCCCTGCCCCACAGCCAGACGGGTTTCTTGTATGGTGCCCGCGTGCCAGATAAGATTAGATTGTGGCCCCTGCGCACATCTGCCACGCAACCAGTGTCAAGTGTGCTGTTAGGTGGTGGTGGTGGTAGGTTTTTGTTTGTTGTGTTTCGGGGTCGGGGTGTTTGTGGCTGTGTTGCGTATGTGCCAAGATAATATTCGCCCCCTGTCAAATCTCATGACAATCCCGGTTTCTCCCTGAGGGTTCGCGGCGTAATACCCGGAGGCGGAGGCGGAGGCGGAGGCGTCGTCGCCGTCGCCGTCGTCCTCGTCGTCTCGTCGTGTGCCAGCGCTGGGGCGGGCGGGCGGGCGGGACAGCTCGTCCTCGTGGTCCTCGTGGTGCTCGTCGTTGTTGTCGTCGTCGTCCTCCCCCTCCTTCTCGCCGTCATCGTTGTCGTCGTTGTTTGCCGGCGCCCGGGGGGGGGGGTCGGCCCCCCCCCGACTTTAGCTTTCTGAGATCATCACTGGTTCTGGTAGTTGTGGGGAAATTATGGTAGATCATGTTCCCCTGATATTCCAGATCTTAACTTAATCTTCCAGATCGTAACTTGATATGCCAGATCTTACATAACTTGAGCGGTTCGAGTTGTGGAAGATACGGAAATTAGTTTTAAGCGTTTTTTTTGTTGCTCTCTCTCTCTCTCTTTTTCAGCGTGTAACTTACGGGGAAGTTAGTTTTGGAGTGGTTCTAGTTGTGGAAGTTGCGTTATAATTAATGTTTGGCTTTGTTGAATATTGCTTTCAAAAAACATGCGTTGCGAACGTCGGTTTCCACATTTATGTTAATGTGTAACAGAAAAATGTGTTACGTCTGCCCCCCCAAAAAAACGTTGCATTGTTGTTTTTTCTCGAGCGCTTTGCGCTGCCAGCGCTTCATGTTTTCATTTTTTGGCAATACCCACCGCTTTGCGCTGCTCCTCCCTCCTCCAGAGCTTTGCGCTGCTCCTATCCCCCCCAGCGCTTGCGCTGTTCCCCCACCAGCGCTTTTGGCACTATCCAGCGCTTTGCGCTGCTCCTCCCCCCTTCCAGCGTTTTGCGCTGCTCCTCCCCCCAGCGATTGCGCTGTTCCCCAAACCAGCGCTTGCGTTGCTCCTCCCCCCTTCCAGCGCTTTGCGCTGCTCCTCCCCCCCTCCAGCGCTTTGCGCTGCTCCTCTCTCCTCCAGCGCTTGCGCTTTTCCCCCACCAGCGCTTGCGCTGCTCCTCCCTCCCCCAGCGCTTTGCGCTGCTTCTCCCCCCTCCAGCGCTTTGCGCTGCTCCCCCCCCTCCAGCGCTTGCGCTGCCCCTCCCTCCTTCAGCGCTGGGCGCTCCTCTTTGGGTTGTTCCTCCCCCACCCGGCGCTTGCGCTGCTCCTGCCGCATTCAGCGCCTCGCGCTGTTCCCGTCCGCAGCGGTTTCTGGCTCAAGCGTTTGCGCCCCCGCGCCGCGCGAAGGGCGCGGCGGCGTGGCCATCCAACGCCGCGGCGCTTGCGCTCCAGCGGCATGCCGCCAGGAGTTCGCCGTCGCTCTCGATCGAGGCCCCGTTCTCCTCCTCGCCCTCCTCCCTCTCCTCCTCCTCCTCCTCCTCCTTCCCCCCTTCTCCCCCCCTTCCCCCGCCCCCTCCCGGGGGTTCGTCGGGGGCGAGATGAGTTGCGAGAGCTCCTCCATCACGGGCGCGTGACCCAGCAGGGGCTCGCGAGGATGCTGAAGACGATTCGCGAGGTGGCGGCGGACTTGCCCGCCGAGGTTCCGGCGCGCGAAATCAACGGGACGAACCATGAACGGTCCGAGCGCGTCCGCCACGAGTTGAGCATGCCGCTGGTGAGCGGCGGAAGCTGGAACTGGCCCCTGGCGGAGCCCAACAAGCTACTCTTCGCGATGGTATCAGAGAGCGGGGCGCTGCAAGAGTTGTTCGCGGCCGCGCTGCGGCGACGCGGTGCTCCGAGCCAGGGGCGCCCGTGGACGCTGGTTATCGGGCACGATGAGTTCAGCCCTGGCGGCGTGTTCAACGTCGGCGACGGCGGGAAGAGCATGGACTCATCGTTCACGTTCCTGGAGCTTTGGGCGCGCAACGCTCGCAGTGGCAACGCGTGGTTCACACCTGTGGTTATTCGCCGCAGCTGGTTCAAGCGGGCCCAGGGCGGCTGGGGCGCCATGTTTGGCAAGTACCCGAAGCTGCACCTGCTGTCTCCGACGGGCCCTGCGACGGCAGGCGCCCCTATTGCAGTCTTCGGCGCGGACGTTCCCATCTTAGCACGCGTCGAGTTCACGATCGCCGATCTCGATGGCCCGCGCATGTCGTTGAACAGCAACGGTGCCATCGGCTTCAGGCCGCGCGTGCGACATTGCAACGTGCCCCAGAAATAACTCGGGCACGGCTAGGTTGGACCCAGCAAGATTCGTTGAAGTTTTTTGTGCAGATCCGACGCGGCTCCGATTGCGCGCCAGTGCAGATCTGTTCGCTGCTGCTGATCTTGTCAGCGCGGCGCGCGCCCGGTGGGCTGCAGGGGCAATGACAAAGGACCACTTCGCGCCCCGCGGCATCCTGCTGGGCCCTGAATTGCGCCGCGACGCGGACGCAGTGGGCAGCGCTGTCATCGATTGGGCCCACACGGCATTGCAAGATGGAGCATTCACCGCAGAAGTCGCCTTGCTGGCGCAGGCGTGCGGGGAGGAGCTGCACGTCAAACTCGAGGATCTCCGAGAGTACATGAAGGGCGGGTGGCTGTTCCCTCCACACGGGAGGGCGAAGTCGAAAGAGTTGCACAAGGTATTCGACGAGTGCCGTGCCCCGAAGGAGGACGCGATGCGGGCCTCTGCGTCAGAGCTCCTTGGCATGCACGCGCTTCTCAGGCTAATTGCGCCTCCTCCTCCTTTTCTCCTCCTCCTCCTCCTCCTCCTCCTCCTCCTCCTCCTCCTCCTCCTCCTCCTCCTCCCCCCTCCTCCTCCTCCTCCTCCTCCTCCTCCTCCTCCTCCTCCTCCTCCTCCTCCTCCTCCTCCTCCTCCTCCTCCTCCTCCTCCTCCTCCTCCTCCTCCTCCACCTCCCTCCTCCTCCTCCTCCTCCTCCTCCTCCTCCTCCTCCTCCTCCTCCTCCTCCTCCCTCCTCCTCCTCCTCCCTCCTCCTCCTCCTCCTCTCCTCCTCCTCCTCCTCCCCCTCTCTCCTCCTCTCTCCTCCTCTCTCCTCTTCCTTCTCCTCCTCGCCCTCCCCCTCCTCCCAGGCATCTCGTGGAGCTGCGCCTTCCCGACGTGGCGCTCGACGAGCGGGCGGCCTCGTTCCAAGCTGCGTGCGCGACGCTGGACTTGATATGCGCGGCAAAGCAGGGGCGCGCTGGCTCGCGCGAAGGGGCGGCGCAGTTGCGGCGAGCCCACGCCGAGCACCTTCGACTGCATAAAAAGGCGCGCGGCACAGCGAACACCCTGCCGAAGCACCACATGATGTTTGACGTGGCCGACCAGTGGGAACGCGAGGGGGAGACCAGCGCCGCTGTGATAGATGCATGCGTGGTCGAGCGGTTGCACATCAGGATCAAGTATTGCGTGGGCCCGATCGACAACGCCAGGAATTTCGAAATGTCATGCTTGGCGTCTTGATTAATGTCCACCTGATGGCCTTGGAGGACCGCGAGTTCGGCGATGGCCCCCCGGGGAAGACGTTGTTTCTTGATGGGGCGCGGGTACCGATAGCAGATCGAATGCCTGTCTCTGGCCTTGCCATCGGGGTTGGTGACGTCGTTCTGCTCGAAGGAGTTGCCGGCAGAGTGCGCGCCTGCGCCGTTGATGATGGCAATCGCCCGGCATTGGTGGAGACGTCCGAGCACGTGGTCAGGCTGCCAGCGCGCCCCGACCGATGGAAGGTTGGAGGTGCTATCCAGGCGTGGCGCGCGGGCGCCGTGCTCATGGCGCCTGCGCGGTGCATGCGCGGCGATGCCGTCGCAGTGTTGCGATTGGTATAGCGCCATGCGCTGAAAAAAAAAAACCCTCCCCCATGCTTCTATCTTAGCGCTGCGCGCCCCATCCAGCCCTCGCGCCGTCGATCGATCTCGCTGTTGTTCCCACCCCTCTCCAAGCGCAAGCGCTCTTCCCCCCCCTCCGCCCTCTCCCTCTTTCGCTAATTCAGCCTGCCCACCGCCCTTCATGGCGCGTGCGCTGCCGCGGCGATTTGAAATCTATGGCCATTGATGTTTTGGCATCAGCACGGGAACCCCAGGGTTCGCAACTCCGGGCCGAGGGACCCGCAGGAGAAGGAGGAGGATGACTAGGAGGAGAACGCGGAGGAAGAGGGCTGGTGAGTCATAGCGCATGAGCTCGAGCTCAGGCCGCCCATGTAGCGCTTGCCGCTCATCCGACTCAATCCGCATCGCTGACTCCGACCCCGAAGACGCAGAGGCGTTAACAACGCCCCCGAAAGCGGCAATCACGCGGTTCGTCTCCAGGAGATCCGACCTCGCCGACTCGAATACCGACGCTGCTGTCTCCATCTTCTGACTGCACCCCTGGACCTGACGACAGAAGCCCACGTGATCCTCAGGGCCCCACTCGCGCGCGACGTCCTGCAACTTGACCAGGCACGTACGCGCGGAGCGCAAGTGGCCCGCTGCCATGAAGGTCATCTCGTCGTCGCCTGTGCCGCTCTCAGGGAGCTCGGACCCGTCGCCGCGGCTGCGGCTGCGACTCCTGCTGGGGTTGCTCTCCCCGGACCCGCCGCCGCGGCTGCGGCTGCGGCTGCGACTCCTGTTGCCCGCCTTCGGGTTCTCGTTGTTGGCGGAGGCCGTCATCGCGATGCTGCCGAGCCACGGAGGTGGCCAAAACGACAAGGTCTGAGCCAAAACGGCCATGGTCACTACCCTCGGCGAAGGCCCCCCCCCGAGCTCCTCAGGCGCGCGCGTTTCCACTCGTGGTGAGGAACACCCGAGACACCCGAAAAGGTCCAGCCAAACTTGAACCATAATACAAACAAGCGATGGGAAACGGAGGATGGGGCCCGCAGCGCGCCAAACAGCGCGCTTGTGAAAATAGACTTAATCAGCGTGAGAACTTGTAGGTGAACAGCGCAGAAACAGCGCAAAGCGCTGGAAGGGGAGCGGTGATCAAAGAAGCGTTTTGCGCTGCGGTTCGCACATGGGTGGACATACAGACATACCTACATGCATACATGCATACATATATCTATACATATGTATATATATATATATATATATATATATATATATATATAGCGCATGCGCTAGATTGCTCAGCGCGCGCGCTTGGACGTTTTCCTCCCCCCCCCCCCCCCCCCCCATGCAGCGCTTAAGCGCTTGAACGTGCTTCAGCTGGCTCGATTGTAGTTCCCCCAATATCATGCCCGCGCAGCTCAGCAATGCCATCCCAACAGCCTGCTAATACCCATACCCGAAGACTGCATCAGCTTGCCCGGCTGCATGAAATCGTCCTCTGCTGCAGCTGCCTGAACTGCGCGTTCAGGAGGGCCACAAGCTTCTTTGTCTGGTTCCCAAAGCTCACTGCATCCTCGGGTGGAGCGCCATACCCATCCCATCCTGATGCACCCTGCCCCCCCCCCCCCCCCAACATCTTCGCCCTTGACGCCTTGATCTGCATGGTCTCGATCTCGCTCTTCTTGTCTTCGGCTTGACTACTTGCGGGCCTCTGAGCCAGCCTCCTTCTCGCAGGGTTTGCGAGCATATCCTGCAGCGACTTCAGCGCTGGGTCCTGCTTGGCGTAGAGTGTCTCACATTTTATTATTTTCTGGAGCCCTTTCTCATCGTTGTTGGCCTTCTCCTTTTTCGCAATGTCCCTTTTGGTCTTCTCATTCGCTTGCTTAGTTGCCTTATTCGTATTATGTTTCTCCTTCTTGGCCTTCTTACTTTTCTTGTCCGAATATGATGAGGAAGAGCTCGAGCTCGACTCGTCATCGCTATTCTCGTCCTTCTCCTCAGGCTCTGCTGACGCTCCTGGCTCTTCTGGCTCTTCTTGCTTTTCGGGAATATTGGCAAGCGGCTTGGACCTCTTTGCCCGACCGACAGCTCGCCCCTGGGCGCAGGATTCCCCCCGCTGCCCTCTTTGCCCGCGCTCGCCTGTGGTCGCCGGGCGAATCCTGTGGCAAAGTCCGAGGACGTCGTGGTAATGCTTATCAGACTTCCCTGATTTCGCCCGGATGGCGTCCGCGTCGCAGCCCCCCTGCTTCCAATAGCCCAGCGGCTGAAACGTGCCACCGTTCTCGAAGTACTCTTCGGCCACCTCGAACTTAGCGATATACGCTTGAGCAGCAATTCTTACCTCCGCCTGAGTCTCCCCGGCCGTGCCTGGGAAAAAACTGCGTTGCGCGGGGCGAATTGTCGTTGAAACATGTCGGGATCTTCCCACAGGTTGCATTTGAACGTGCCTTGCCCTTTGCCCCTGAGGATGGCCTTGCTGCAGTGCGCTTGGGAGCCGCATTTTTGCCAAGTCACCACTGTAGTCTTGATGTATTCGCCATGCTTTGGCCAAATTGAGACCTCGATATTATCGTTGCCCTTGTCCTTGCCATTGCCCTTGCCCTCGGGCGCATCGGGCTCCGCAGCCGCAGGTATCATGTCTGTGTCGGTCGCATCGTTGTCCTTGTCCTTGTTCTTGCCTTTGCCTTGGCCGCCGCGGCCCTTGCCCTTGCCCTTGCCCTTGCCCTTGCCCTTGCCCTTGCCCTTGCCCTTGCCCTTGCCCTTGCCCTTGCCGTTGTCGCCTGCATCTTCAGGCTCCGCGGGTTCCGCGGGCTCAGCGGGCTCCGCGGGCCTTCCAGACGCGCTAGGCTGAGCAGTTGCCTCCTCGCCTGATGACGAGCAGTCCAGCGCGTGGTCGCCAAGGGGCCCCCCTTCCCTCTGTAGCAAGTCGTGGGCGCCCAGCTTACACTGCGAGCACTGTGCCTCCTCGAGCATTGGGCGGTTTCCGGCCTCCTGGTATTTCTCGATGCAATACTTGTGGAACTTGTGAGTGCATCCAAGACAGATGCTCTCGTCGGTGACGTCCTCGAAGCCCGCCTGGCAGATGACGCATATATTGTCTGCCATTGCTGAGGGCGCGCTGCGCAACCCCGAAGACGCCAGCGGCGGCCGTTGAGCCGAAACGGCTGCAGCGACAGCGCATTGCGCTCACCCTCACTGAGCGCATTGCGCTTTATCCTAATATACATGCAGACTCTTAGAGCGCATTGCGCTGCCTTTAGAGCGCATTGCGCTGTGTTCTCACGGGGAACCATTTGTTCTAGCGACGAGAGCGCCAACCCGCGCGGACCGCACCCTGATATCGCCGCGGGCTTCCTCTAGGCCAGTAGAGTGTTGTCAGTCCAGTAGGCCAAAGGCTATCTCTGGGCAGTAGCCCAAATTTGTGTGACCGAGTACTGCGTATCCGAACCGACTGCACCATATGCACACATCAGGTCGGCTGGATTGATCGCCGAGCATCGAGAAGACGCTATAGCCAATGGGCTCGCTATCGTAGAACAACTTGCACTGGCAACCGTTCGTGAATAAATCGTCATTGAGCGCCGCCCGTTTCTTCGGCGACTCCACGGGGTCGAACTTCTGCTTGCGCATCATGCGCATGTACATGTAGGTCTTCGTCGTCGGCTTCCACGGCTTACCACCTTCTCTCAAAGGCTTCTCGACGAATGAAATGCTGGTCTTGTGGTTGACATGCGCGTGGCCAAGTTTGAACGTCTCCGTTGAACAGATCTCCCAATGCTCGGACTCGGAGCAGACGGGGCAATAATCCGAAGGCGGCGCCCACCACTTGGCCGTCTGTGCTTCCCAAACATACTGCAGCAAAGAGCCCCCCGCGTTCGACCCCATGTCCAACTCCATGGGCGCAGTGCCTGAGGACGGCAGCTGTGACGTCCTGTCACAGCAGCTGAGAGCGCGCTGCGCTATCCCAAAGCGGCCAGTAGCGGCCGTTGAGCCGAAACGGCTGCAGCGACAGCGCATTGCGCTCACCCTCACTGAGCACATTGCGCATTATCCTAATATGCATATGCACTCTTAGAGCGCATTGCGTTGCCTTTAGAGCGCGCTGCGATGTATTATCATTGTTCCTGCCTTTAGAGCGCATTGCGCTGTATTCTCAATGGGTGATTTTCATACATCGCACCTGTATGCCTCGAGAACGGAACCATCCCCGCGGAATCCCCGGAGTAGTTGCTATAGGCGCCCAGGATGATCCCACGTGGCGGGGGCAGAAAAAAGGGCGATGGTTCGCGACGCTGCGCGGCCACCATCACAAGTGAAAACGATTGTCCGCGACACTGCGCGGCCACCGCCAGACTGTGAAACGGCGAGGGCAGCAGTAGTATTAGAGTCATGCCCTTATAATTATGCACGCCATCAAAGAGACGCGCATTGGCCTGGGCCCCCCCCCGTTCCTATGCATTGTCCGTAGCCATCTAGGCGCGAAGACGCGCCGAGCGACCCGACGTTTCCTCCCCCCCCCCCCGACGCTCGGCCCGACGCCCATGCCCAACGGCAGCCCGACCGGCGAAGACGCGGGCCTCGACGAGAAGATGAATGGCGCCACCCACCAGAAAACACTCTACGAGCACAAGCGTAGGAAAACGAATTGCGCGGACGATGGTTGGCCAGGGGCGTTGGTCGCCCTTGAGTGGAACGCGCGCGGCGGCCATGTCGGGGAGACGTGGGTGCGGGCGCAGCCACCCGCGCCAGGGCCAAAGCGCAGGGCGCTCAAGGGGCACAACGAGTTGGCAAAGCGGCGGGACGCGGCACTCGAGAGGGCGGGAATCCCCGCTATCGGCCCGAGGAGGAACAGGGCAGCGAGCAGGTCAAGGGCAAGGGCAAGACCATGCGCAATCCAGCCAAGGGCCAGCAGAGCCAGCGCAAGGCCAAGGCCAAGGCCAAGGCCAAGGCCGAGTCCAAGGGCAAAGTACGCTGCGGCAGCTGAATAAGGATAGCTGATTTGCCAATCAATTTTAGTAAGGCGGTGACTGTGGGCTGCTAGCATCACGGAAAGCCACGAGTTCTCGAGCGCCTAACCCATGCGGCGGCGGGGCGGATTTCGCTGGGACCCATGGGGGAACGGGTCGGGGCAGCTGCCAATCAGACGCCCCCCCCCCCCCCCCCCGAGCGCGGACTTGGAGCCGAGCGAAGGGGCCCTCACTGCCAGCGCGGCGCACCTGGGCCCGGGAAAATGGCATTGAGCAAACATCGACCGCAACCGTCGTCGTCGTTCGTCGTCGCCGTCGTCGTCACCCAGCAGCGCGCGGCGCTCATTCCCCTCGCCCCAAAGCGCTTGCCGCTCCCACCCACCTCCCCCGCACTCTACCTAACCCAAGCGCGTTGCGCTGCAATCGTGCGTTGCAATATAAATGGCGAGGGTAGGGTGGGCGAGGGCAGCTGTAACCGCCCGACCGCCCGATCGCACCCCGATAACACCTCGACCACCCCGATAACATCCCGATAACACACCGATAACACCCCGCGCGACCGCCCGATAACACCCTGATAACACCTCGAGAACACTCCGATAACACCCCGATAACAATCGACAACAGTGCTATCGACATGCTATCAAGTTGTTATCGAGGTGCTATCGAGTGCTGTCGAATGTTATCGGGGGTGTTATCGGGGAGTTACCGGGGTGTTATCGGGCGGTCGCGCTTTCGTTTGTTTAGCGTCCAAGCCGTCGCTGAGCTGTCGCTGCGCTGCCGCCGCGCTGCCGCAGAAGCGCGCGAGCGCTTGCCACGCGGCCGTCGCATCAGAGGCCGCTGCTGCGCAACTGTCGCATCAGAGGCCCCGTGGCAGGCGTCGCATCAGAGGCCTT